AATCGTTTGCAGGTGGCCTGCACAACATCTCTGTATCTCTCTTCAGCTTCTGAAGTGAACCCTGGTTTGACTGGCCTGTTTGATCAGGGCGGTGCAGAGGGTGGAGGGACATCAGAAGGTAGGGGAGAGGCAGAGGAAGAGGGAATCCCTTCTCCAAGGGCAGTGGGTGTTCAGTGGCAAGTTCCAGGATGTACTTTCCCCTCCTCAGGAACAGCTGGTCCGAGTTAATTTCTCAGTTCAGTGCTGTTGGTGGGTTTGTGTGGGAGTGAAATGGAAGAGGAAAATTCCCAGAAGGACTGAAGCATTGAAGTATTACCAAGAGAGAGTTTTTATAAAGATTTTCTATTCCCTTGATTGCAGATGGGAAAACAAGAGGCAGGGATCACCATTTCACATCAAACAGCCACAGCACTGTAGTCTCATTACGTGGATGCTTCACTGGTTATATCAGGAATTAAATGTGTGTTCTGCCCCTGCCTCAGGCATATTGGAGATGCTATGAGGTGGTTCTGGGTTTGGAGATCCATATGCTGCTTGATTTTTTTTTAGTAAGAGGCTGTTATTACCCAGCTGGTCAAGACACATTTTTGAGCTCGTTTCTGGGAGGTTTTCAAATGATGTTTGGGATCAGCATGAAGTCACTTCTCCCTGCCAGTCACAGTGAAACTCTGAAACAACGCTGATTCAAGACATGCTGAATGAACAGTAGATTTGGAGATGGAAGCCAAAGGTTTCTGAGTTCTCTAGGCTTAGGAGATTTTTGGGAATTCTGGACTGAGGCTGAGTGACTTTTTTGAGACTTCAGAATAAACTTCACATTTCGCACGCGGAGGAAAAATCTCTGCTGGTAAAATTAACATTCTTGTTTTCAGGACCGTAATTTACACAAGAGCTGCTGTAATCTTCCAGTCCTGTGCACAGAGACAGGCTGCTCAGTACCTCTGCCAAATCTTTCTTCCTGTAATCTGTTCCAAACCTTCCAAAGGGTCTGTGCAATTGGTTGCAATGATGCATAAGTGAGGCAATCGAGAAACAGAATCCCTGTGCCAGAAGGAGCTTCTTCCTTCAACTGCTTCACTGTGCATCTTAAGGACTCCTGTTTGCTCTACATAGATGTGAGTTTGGACTTTCTCGTGCATTATCTCATAGGAGGCTGTAGACCTTGTTTAGCAAGATTGCAGGTGTAGATATGAGCTGAATAAGAGATTTGTGTGCTTTTTGCCTTCCTTCCTGTCCTGTGGCATCCACGGCTCCGGCATTTACACCTCGTTGAAGCCGCTTTCATGCAGAGGTTAAATTACTCGTCCTTTTAAAATGAAAAAAATTGCATTGTCTAGAAGTCCTCAGAATTGTTTTACTGCTGGTGTTTGTCACTGATAATGATTTCGTGGCAAACACCTACAAAATATGCAGGACAGAGGCAGGTTTTAAAATAGCTAAAATATGCCAACTTTTAAATCTCTGATGGATTTTTCTGAGCTGTCATGCACTGTGCACAAAGGAGTTGCTTATTACTATGGCTGGAATCCGTGTTCCTGAAATTCTCTTTTTTCTTGACAAGTCACTGAATGAAAAACCCAAATTCACTTGGGCATTCAGAGCTTCCCTAACACTATTCCAGTGAAGGAGCAATTTTTTTTTTTCTTTTCTATTGAGTTTTTGCTGAAACTGAAAGCCCTGAGGCTTTTGTGTGTGGTCCCTGCAGAGCTGCCCTCACAGTTTCACTGTCATTCATTCATCAAAGGGCACCCATTCCTGGAGTGTAAAAGTACCACGTTACTGATGTCATCTCTCCATCTGCCAGCCAGGCTAGTGAACATCTGCAACAGCACCACTGGGAATACTTCAGGAACAGGGCAGGTTTTAAAACATGAAATATGCTTCATGGTATTTTTTTTTTAAAAAAAAAGAAAATCCAGTTTATGTGAACAATAAAATACTTTGCCCCAGATGAAATTGGTGAAAATTCACTTCAGCTGATTTTTTTTCACCAGGGTAAAAAAGAAGTTTGATGGAAAAGTTTGTGTCTGTAATGCTGAGTCTTCTACATCAATATGAATAGCTCAGCAAACATTATTTGAGGTTACCAGATAGACATATTAAAAAAGTACAGTCCCATCTTCATGTAAGAGATAGAAAGGGCTGGTCTGATTTATTTCTTCCCCTGATTCACACAGATAAATCGCTGAATCTTTTTAAGGACTGGGGCACCAACACTATAGAAATGAACCAGTTGGTTCATGAGCAATTAGAAAACTTCAACCTTTTAGGAAGCTCAGAAAAAAAAAAAAAAAAGAAGTGTGTAAAATTCACCATCACTGTCTCCCTGAACCAGAATCAACACAACCCTGGATCAACAATACGGTACTAAAAGGCCAGTCAAATCTTTCCCTAAACTGGATTGCCCTTCTGACTCCCCAAAATTCAAACCCTTCACCCTAAATCACCTTTCCCAAAAAGCATCTGTTCAAATTCTTTCATAGTTTCCACACATCATGGAAACACAGTAACTGTCCAGCACCATCAACAAGTGATGTGGTCCAGGGAAAAACTGCTACCACATGATATGCCTAATTCCCAAAGCTGCTTTCAGAAGCTAATCTTTGGTGCTTTGCCCTCCAGAAACGCTTGTGATGCATCTGATGACGGGCACATGGCAACGGTATGAGAAATGGGGCTACCCTCGTTTTTTGGGGGGAGTTCTGCTAATAAACTGTGCTCACTTGGAAAAATTAAAGGACATATCCACACCCCAGGGGCAGGTTCACCCCAGTGACCAAGTTTGGTGACCCCATCACTCGGCTTTGAGCTCTGGTGGGTGGGGATTGGGTTCCAGGGTGCTGGTTCTGCCTTGGCACCTCCACATGGGGTTGAGTCACTGCACTCACGGACTGGACCTGCTGGCTCTCTGCATTTTCCCTTGGTGTGGCTGCTGGAGATCGCAGTGGGGGACTTTTGGTATCGCTGTCAAATCCCTCAAAATATTTTCCTGTATCTTTGAAAACGATAAGGGTTTTCAAGTACCTTTAAAAGCAAAAAAATGTGACTCCCCCCAGGGACAGGGGCTGGATATGAGGGGTGACTCCAGCTGAGTTTTCTCTGCCTCCCCTGAGTGAGTGAGTGAGTGAGTGAGTGAGTGTGAGTGAGTGAATATTCCCACTGTTCTCTGCTCCCTCCTTTGGTGGTTTGCACATATTCTGAGCGCACAAAAGGCTTGCTGACAGCCCCTCGTGATGGACTGAAGGAGGGCTCCAGACAGACCAGTTTCCAGGCACGACCCCCTCATCTTTTCCTGTTTGCAAAGCTGCCATGGCACGTCCTGAAGGAACCTGCAGAAGAGATGCTGGCCTGGTTCCCACTTGGCCGGGCTCCCAGGCGTGACACTAAAGGTCAGCGGTTCCCTCCTGTGGAATCCCAGTCCTCTTCCGCATTCTACTCCCTCCTTTCACCAGTCCCCTAATCTGAGAGATCATGTGGGGAGAGGCAGGAGAGGGTGGGGGAGGAGATTGTGATGTAACCTCTGCTCTGGCGAAGTTACGAGACGGACAGCACAGCGCCCGCAGCTCGCCGTGGGGTTTTGGTGGCGCTGCTGCTGGGACACCTGGATAAGAGGCATGAAGATCCACGCCCAGGAGGCTTGAAGATCCACCACAGCCGTGCGGGACCCCGCAGGTGATGAGCTCACCTCACCTGTGGAGAAGCAAGCCGAGCACGGTGCCTGCAGCTCCTGGTTCTGCTGCCTCTGCGGGCACCCGGAGAGAGGGGACCAGCGAGGGATGCTCAGAGTCAGCCGCGCTGCTGGGGTGAGTCTGCTCCTTCTTCCTGGGCTTTCTCTGCACTTTGGGAGGGAGGGAAAGGAAGGGGAGTGAGCTGGAATGTTGTGCGGATTGTCTGAGGGCGTTTAACCGTGTGAAATCCCCGCTGGATTGACTCCGAGCCAGCTGACAGTCCCCGGGTAATCCCAGCGCTGGCAGGCTCTGCCCGGGTTATAGGGGCATGTCTGTGTGTCAGGATGGGGGTGGGACCTGCTGGGTGTGTCAGGGGAGCCAAAATAGTTGGCTGCGGGAGAGAAATTTGAGAAGAAAAATTCGGAGAAGTCTCTGTCACCTGTGTGTGCAGGGGCGTGTTAAATCTGTGAGAATTCAAGGGAGAAAATGTGCTTTTCTCAGTACCAGCAGGAGATGAGACTGGGAGGGACCTGGCCCTGTGTATTTGCTGATGGAGAGAGCTGGATCAGATAACAAGAGCTGTTGAAAGTAACTGCAGTAAAGTGTTTTCCAGGTGAACTTCTAAGTGAACTTCCACACTGAAAATGTCTCCCTGCTAAAGGAAAGAAGGGAAGAGGAGGAGCATCATAAGATATACGAGTATTCTACTTTATTATAATAAATTATAGAGTATATACAAGATAAAACAAAGTTAATGCATAAGATGGGCCTCAGAAAGCCAAAGAACAAACTGCAGCTCTGTTAACACCTCTGGAGCTGCAGCGGTACTGAATTCACACTAACTGCCTTCTAGCATCGGGAATATCCAAGAATGCCTGCAGAAGGATGCAGTGATGCCACCTGGTGTGTGCCCCCATGGGAAAGTTGTGACCACAATGCTTTACACAAAATATCGTGTGACTGATCTCCCAGTGTGGTACACGAAGCTCCTGGCTCTGGTAGTTCACAGGCAGCTACTCAGAGTATTTTTTGGAGGTGAAACCTCAACAAAATATCAAAATCAAATAATAAATTAATTTGATCGAATAAATAAAATCTGGAAGTAAAATAGTTAATTGCTGCACAGGGTTCTCTTCCTCCCTTTTTTAAAATGTGACTTTAATCCTGGTCTAAAATTTCAGTTCCTAGAAAGCAATCTCTTTTCTTTCCCTTTAGCTGTGGTCCTGAGCCTTTGTCTAAGGAGCTTCCTTAGTTAAGACTCAGTCAAGGCTGGGATAAATGGGGTTAATATGATCCTGAGGATGCTAATTATAATTTCTTTCCAGGACCTGTGATGGCTTCAGCCTGGCAGAAAACTCAGGAATTCTACAACTGGGTTCTTGAAAGTGGAGGTAGGTAGAAATGCTGGTTTAAACAGGAATTTTTGCACGAGTAGCATGATCAGCAACAAACCCAGAGGGAACACGGTCCTCACAGGAGCCCACATTTATCTCACCTGGCAGATTTCTCCATGATAACAAACTTCCCTTTAAGTCTTTAATTTGATATTTTACCGTGAGGAGACTGCAAATCTTCAATGGCTAGAGGTTCTACAGTCCAGTTTGGTCCTGAAGGGCTCTGTTGGGTCTCTGGATGTAAGGAAAAGCCAAAAATGCCATTAAGGTAGAATGGCAGGTCTGCATGGTGGCTTTGGCAGGAGAAGGACATTGGGCATGATGCTCAGGCTGTAAATGTTTCAGGATTTGAATTTCAGGAATTTAAATACAGATACCTGCCCTGCAGGGTGTGGGAGGTGCCAGCTCTGGCTGTGTGCTTTGCCTTACAGATCCCAGGACAGACCCATGGCCGCTGGTCTACTCTCCCCTTCCAGTCACACTTGTCTTCTCCTCCTACCTCCTGGTGGTGGCTCTGGGGCCCCTCCTGATGCGGCGGCGCAGACCCCTGGAGCTGAGGGGGCTGCTGCTGGCCTACAACCTGGCCATGATGGCACTGTCCACCTACATGTTCCACGAGGTGAGGAGGCAGCACTGGCTCCTAGGCAAGCACCTGGGAAGGGTCTGAAAGCCAGAACTGTTTGAAATGGCTTTTGCTGATGGACTCTGATGAAGGGAGTGGGAGCTGACTCGGCCGTGCCCGTGTTTTGCCGCAAGAGGAGCAGTCTTGCCCCGCTGTGCCACCTTCCCTCCCGCTTCTCAGTCCTCCTGTCATTCATAAAATGAACACTGAAAGGTTCCTGGATGAATGAGCTGAGAGTTGAGAGCTCCCCATTGGACACAGGATGTATTGAGGGCGTGGAACCTCATTTTGTTTCGTGACTGGCTGGTGAGGGCACCCATCTGTGAGAGGGAGAGACACTCTTCAAGGGAACACAGCCAAATAGGTTCCAAAAACATCCTGATGTTGACAAATATTCCCTTTTAGTTTGTATCACAATTTTTACATTAACACAAATTGTTTGTTTGTTTTTTGTTTTCTTTGAGCAAACGCTACTCCACCTGAGTAGAATTCAGGATTCCTGATGAAGTAATTTTGAGAACTCCAGTGATTACATAAAGAGTTACAAACATGCCCAGGCCAAATTTTCTTTTTGAGATTCCCACAAGGATGTGAAGTGCCTTGTTTTAGGTTTTTACTATTTGCTCAGCTGTATAAATTACATGGATTTTCTGTTAGTGAGAATTAGATTAATACTCTTATTACCTTAGCATTAATATGCATATCTTTTTGCCACAGATGGATTTGAACAGAAAATTGATTTCTATTGCTTTTCCTTTGTTTCAGTTTTTGGTAACTTCAGTCCTGGGCAACTACAGCTACCTGTGCCAGCCAGTGGATTACAGCCAGAGTGAACTGGGAATGCGGGTACAGTTCTGCAGAAAACTTGTCTTAGGCTCCCATGGGTGTGCAGATAATTTTCTTCATAAAGAGCAGTTTGCATGCCTAAGAAGGCTTTTACTCCAATTTATTGCTTGTAAACCTATATCACTAAATTATCTGCTTTAACAGTTGCGTTTCGCTTTAGTTCTCTGAAATTAATCATCATCAGTCAGCAGAGCCATCTAAGCTTGCTCTTTGATCACTGCAGAGAGGTTGATTTTGCATTCTGAAGATGGTTCTTTATTATAGATATTTCAAATTACCTCTGAAATATATGTGACTCTTTGCATGGATTGTAAGGATTCTGGGTGATTGCTTTCAACAAGAGAACCAATTTTTACATCCTCAACTTTGCGTGACATAAATCTTACCCAACATTTCTTTTAGCATGGGGATGTGACTAAAATTATTCCTTGTCCAGTCATCACGGTGGGGGGGGGTTGGGTCACACCAGCTTCAGCTTTCCAAAATGCTGCATGAGGTTTTTTTTCCAGTTAGAATTCAGAGCTCCCACACTTCGCTTCCAGATGTAACCAGGCGCTGAAGAGATGCAAGCCTGGATATTATCCTTTCAGCTTTTCAGATATTTGCTATCAGGCAAAACCAAAACAAAACAGAGGGAAAAAAAAAAAAAAAACAAAACAAAAAAACCCCAAAGAACTCTTTAGTTTTTCCTGTTCCCGAGTGGGCAGGGTTCACATCCTGCATGGTTGAAAATATGCTGATTTTGGATGACGGTCTAACCGCAGTGCTTTGTGCTGCCCAGCAGATGGCAAGAGTGTGTTGGTGGTTCTTCTTCTCCAAAGTCATCGAGCTGCTGGATACGGTAAGGAGGGCTCAGAGCTCCGTGGCGGGATTGGTGCTGGAAATAAATCGCTTCCTTGTCAGAAAGGGGCAGGGTGCCAAAAGTTAAATGTCCCCGGCTGATCCTGTATTGATTTGCTCGGCGCTTTTCAGCGAGAGCTGATTTGGCGTGTTGTGCTCTGCCTGTTTGTGGGAGTGAAGGCTGATGCTGTTAAAGAGGAGGGCTCAGCTCCTGCAGGCTGCTTTTTTTGACAGTGTTGGGCCTGTGAGAGCCCAGCAGCACGGCTGGGTATTGTGCTCCAAGGCTTCCTCAAGAGCTTCTTTCCAGGAAGGAATTGCTGCTGTCTGATTTGCTTGTCTTTGGGTTTGGGAGACTGGGAATCACCATTAGCTATTTTTGTAACCTTTTACTGTGGAATATTTAGTCTAAACACACCGACTCGAGGTTTTCTTTTGTCTGGCTTCTTCCAGGTTTTCTTCATTCTGCGCAAGAAACAGGAGCAGGTGACTTTCCTGCACGTGTACCATCACGGCTCTATGCTGTTCAACTGGTGGTCAGGGGTCAAATATGTGCCTGGAGGACAAGGTATGTCAGAAAACCTAGCATTTCAGGGGTTTTTTAGGGGGGCTGTGGAGGTAGCATTAGCTGTGCAGATGGGCTGACTGGCAGGTAGGAAGCTCACCTGGTTCCAAAGGTACAAGAGGCTGGGGTGTTCCTTTTTGGGGAGCCATTTCGGCCACGTGGCGTTGACACCGGAATGTCATGGAATGTTTGGGTCAGAAGGTAAAAAATTCTCTCCTCTGCCTCTGAAGCTCTTCTCTGTCTCCAGAGTCTGGATATGGGCTGGATATATTCGGATGCCCCAGCCCTGGCAGTGTTCAAGGCCAGGTTGGACATGGCTTTGAACAAGCTGGTCTAGTGGAAGGCGTCCCTGCCCGTGGCAGGGGGCTGGAACTAGATGGTCTTTAAGGTCCTTTCCAATCCAAACCATTCCATGAATCTGTGATTTTATATGCTGAAAGGAAAAGGAAGGAGAGGGCGTGCTTCCAAGACAGAGCCTGGACTGAAGGTTCATGCAGAAGGGGTGATGTGATGCTTTTTGAAAGCATCACCAGGGTGGCCGTGAGCTCTTCACAGGGTTGGTCTTGCATGGGCTGTGTGTCTCTCATTCATCCTCACTTCTTCACTCCTCAGCCTTCTTTATTGGGATGCTGAACTCCTTTGTCCACATCTTCATGTATGGCTACTACGCCCTGGCCAGCCTGGGACCACGGATGCACCGTCACCTGTGGTGGAAGCGCTACCTGACCATCCTGCAGCTGGTAATTAGTTCCACGTGTCCATCCCTGCCTTTCCCTGTGCTGGGTGTGATGGCCCCTGCCCCAGCCCTTGTTTGCTGCCCTCAGAAATCACCATGTCCTTGGGTGTCCTCGTGTACCACTGTGAATGGTGAACCTGGCGCTGAATTTCAGAAAACTCACAAGAGACCTTCAGTGACCAAATAACGAGCCCTGGCTTTGTAGTGGGAAGGAGAGGAAAAAAAAAGTTAACCCTGTGGATCTTCAGTTAGATTTCTTCCATTTATGTTTCCTCTCTGGAGCCCTGAAAACTCAGCTTGATTTTGGGAGGTGTGGGGCAGTAACTTGGGGAAACTTTGGATTCTCAGTAGGGCAGGAAACTGGGCAGCCTTCATTCAGTTCCTTCAAAAAGGAAAGGTCTGTCTGACTGCAAGCAAACAGGCAGGTTAAAGAGACAGTTGAACTCCTTCTGCAGAGAATCCCCTTGGATTTTCTTTCCCTTATCTATGAAGAGGTGACAAATTCTGGAAACCCTGTGTTTTTTTCAAAGGTACACCGTAAATGCAATGTTCCAGACAAGAGCAGTGATTGTGGAAGAGTTATTTCCACACAAAAAGAAGTTATGCAAACAAAAAGTATTCAAGTACCAGAGAAGAGGAATAGGGTATAAATATATATATATATAAACCAGTGTGCAGTAAAGGCTGGTCCAGAGTTCTTACTTATCCTGCATGGCAAAGCAGACCAAAAAAGCATTGCAAAAGATGAAGAGGTGTTTGTTACGTGAATTATAGCACAGGAAATAAATTTTTATTTAACATCCTTTTTGTCAGGTAGAACTCAGTGCTTCATGGTATTTGAGACAGGTCACTTAGCAATATACCAAAAAAAAAAAAGAGGATTAATGTTTAAATGAATAAAGGTAGTATCAGTAATTCCTCTCTGTAAGCTAAAATGCAAATCAAAATCTTCATGAGCATAATAATCTGATTACCACCGGGGAGGAAACCTCTAGTTTCCGTATTCCAGGATCTCTCTGCCCGTGGCAAAGGAGTGGCACAAGGGCAGTGATCTGCTCCTTGCAGGAGGGGCTGGATTCCAAACCTGACCCCTGCAGCAGTGGGAAAACCTCAGTGTTTGATGGACACTTTGACACCTTTCCATGTTGGGAAAACACTGCTGGGCTTGAAAGGCAGGTTTTCCAGGGGTGTCAGGAGAGGCAAACAGGTGATGCTCTGGGCATAACTTCAGTGAGGGCACTACCAGGATGTTGTGGCAGTTGTGTGGTCAGCTGAGCTACATCTCAGGTAGCTTCCTAATCTGGCTGCTTCTTTTTCCCCCCTCTTCCAGTGCCAGTTTGTGGCCATTGCTGCCCATTCTTCCTACAACCTCTTCACAGAGTGCCCGTTCCCTGATGGCTTCAACACTGCGGTCTTCCTCTACATCCTCAGCCTCATGGCTCTCTTCCTACGCTTCTACTACAGGACCTACATTAGGGGGAAGCAGGACAAGCTCACTTAAAGAAAATCTGAAGGAAAACCAAGGAGGACACTGAGCACAGGCTGAGGAACTTGCACATTCCTGCTGCTTGTAACGCGGTTGCAGGAAAAAAATGTGTTGTGGGGAGTGTGTGTGATCCTCATGTGCTGCCTTCAAATACCTCAAGGTAGGGAGAGAAAAGGAATGACAAAGCCAGGGATGAAGGTATTGAGGAGCTCATTTAATAAGGCTGAGGCAAAGCTAAGCCAGGCAGTCCCCAGCATAGCAGGCTTTTTGAAATCAGCACAGGAAGGTCTTTTTCCCTTCCATCACTGTCCAAGGTCTGGCATCCAACCACAACTCCCCTGTCTCGTTTCTTAGGCTGTAGAGGGTTTCTTTGCATTAACAAATCTATCTCAGCTTGCTGCTCCAGATCAGGCAGGGCCATGTGGCTCCAGCCTTGTCCAAGCAGTGTCCAAGTGGCCAGGACCTCACTGGGAATGCAGGATGCACTCAGCTGTCCACTGCATCCCAAAGCTCCTGCTGGGACTGGGGGGAATTACAGCTGGTGCTTACCCTGGTGGTGTATCTTTATGTAAGCACGAGCATGAAGGAAGCTGGGCATTATGTTGTCTGGCTGGACATGTGCCTTCACTGTCCTGAAGTGAAAGAAGGCATTTTTAGCACTTTCATCCTAAGGAAGTGGAGTAAGAACTGCCATGTACCATTTTCTTATTTGCCTTTGGTTGCTCTCATAACAACAGAGAACTTTTAATGCATGAAGGCTACTTGGTATTGCTCCTTATAGGTGCCATAATTTTACTAGAAAGAATGGACTGAGGTTCCCTATTCACAACATTTTTCCTCCAATTTTTGTTATTATTTTTAATATTTTTTTAAAAAAATTTTGCTTCTCAGCAAGCATAAAGAGCTTAACAGCACCATAAGCAACCACCTCCACTACCTAATATTTGTATTAATACAAAGTGTATAAAAGTCAATTCATTGCCTAGTGCAAAGCTGCAGAGTTCCACTGACTTTAATATATCATTTATTGGCTTTGTTTTTACTCCTAAATCCATTACAGCTAGAATTTTGCACTTATTTTCATCTTCAGACAGTTAAATGCCATTGAAGTTTTGACGTGGCGATGCTTTGAAAAGCCTAAATTCAGATTTTAAACCACGAAGTTTTCTTTTTTCTGATTGTCACTGGTGAGTATGGAAAGCAGAGCAGGGCTCATTTTTATGTCTGTGTGAGCTGGTTTTCTCCCTGTCAGATACTTTCCCCGTGCTAATTGCTAAATAAAGGGTCCTGCTTTTGCACATTGGAACTCTGCTTTTGTTAGAATTTTAAGTAGCAAACCTCTGGGTGGGTCCTTCCTTTTTCCCTTCGGTTGGAAAGGCAGAAAAAAAAAAAAAAAAAAAAAAAAAAGACCTGCAGTGTATCTCCCCTACTGTGCTCATTTTGAGGGTTTCCCCTGGGGCCTCTCCAGTGCAAGTAAAGCTGTTTCATTACTCCTGTCCACTTAAATACTCCCTTACAACCCTCTCCTGCTTAAACCATCGGTACATTTTGCCCTCTGATGTCATGGTAGAGCATTATTTCCTGCAGCTGGGTGAATTATCTGTGCTTACCAAGCAATCTAATGCTCCTTTTCATATACATGGGGGGATCATGAGTAGGTCCCAACCTCGGTTTCACCTCACATAAACTTTTTCAGGTTCCAGTTGCTAATTCCAAGGGCTTCACTAATAATTTTATACCAGAGTAGGCATCACATGTTTCGATTTTCCTTGATTCATTCATAATTCACAGCTGCCTAAAGATTAGAAAAAAAAATGAATGAGATTACTCAATGCTTTTGCAAATCCACTCCTTCTTAAAATATATACATTTGTAAACATGCCATCTATTTGGTTTTTTGTTGTTGTTGTGGGGTTTTTTTTTTGTTTGTTTGTTTTTTAAAGCAGACTATGCAGCTTAATTTGTATCTGTTTATGACAGAGCTTCCTGCAATGGATTCTGGAGTGTGACTGGCCACATAGCTGGTAACAAAAGTACAAAAGTGTGAATTTGTCCCCTGACAACTTGAAATCAGTGGCTGGTCACCTAAATCAGACACCACTGACAATATTTGTCCTAGACCTCTGATCTACCCATTGCTGTCCCTTTTCCTCACAGCCTGAATGAGGGGCCTGATCTTGCATTTTTGAATCGGTAAGAGCTTTTCTTCAGGGCCACTTCGATGGCATAGGATTAAAATGAAGTATTTTCAGTTGACTGATAAGGAGGGATTAAGTTTGCCCAGAAACACCACAGAGGAATAGATATTGGTGTGGAGTATTTGCACTAGCAGGGCAGATAAAATTGGATTGGTGGATCTGAGGGGCTCTGCAGGTCTTGATACCTTATTCTTTTAGAGTTCACTTACTTGTCTCCATTCCATTTTAAACTGGGTTGCCACAATTGGAACTGTCCACCTGGGCCATCCTGTTGTAACAAAAGCAAAAACTTGGGAGTACAGGTATCTGCCCCTGGAATTTGACAGGAGATAAAGACACAGAGTGGGATTTCCCCTCCCAGATCAAGTCCCTGGAGTTGAAGATCACATTCCCACAGGGCTGGGAATTGTAAACTGCAAGTTTGGATGGCTCGTGCTCTCTGGCAGAGCCTGAAGCTTCGAGGATGAACTGAAAGCATCCTGTGGCAGCTGGATTTGTAAAAACCTCTGGGCCCAATGCTGATTCCCCCAGTATCAGTAACAAAGCCTGCAGAATCCTCTGGAAAGGAGCTGGCACAGTTGTGTGGGAAACAACACGCTCAGCTCCACGGCCGGGTTGGCTGTGAGCAGCCTGGGGTGTCACTCGAGCTGAACAGATGACATTTAAGGGCACAGTGGTGTGTAGGTCTCCCCCTCATAAAATGTGGGTCATTGTAGTTCTCAGAGTAGTTTACATGAACAAGATGTAAGGCCTAATGGAAGCAGCCTGTTTAAATGAACAAGCTTGATATCTGCTAGTGCTCAGCATCTTTCCTCCTGTTCCAGTCAATGTAAATTATGGATGTTCTGATCAAATTACTTCTGAATTAACCAGACCATTTATTCAATGCTTACTTTCTGTCTGAAGATAAATGAGAGGGATTCTCATTTTAATCAAAACAAAATACAGAAAAGAAAATCAATTACTATTTAATGTTTTTTCCATCCCCGTGTGATGGAAAGTTTCCAGAGGAACTCGGGCTTAAAATTGCAAAGCAAAGGCAGGAACATAGCTGAGTTATAACTATTGGATTTTTATATGTTATCAGAAAATATGGATCTGTGTGTGTGTGGCTTGTTGTTTTTTTTTTTTTAAAGGACCAAAGAATTACTCTGAGCAATTAATCAAGCAAAAGCAGAATACAGCAGATTGCTTCATACAAAAACATAAAAGTCTGTTGATAGAGATGTAAAGCACCTACAAGCCAGCAACCCTAAATATAGAACAGTGTGAATTTGCTGAATTCATTAATGAATAACTTCATGGATTAGGGCTTGATAGATGGAGTGCTCGCATCCAGATGTTTACTGTGATTTTTTTTTTTTTCAATGGCCTTGTACTTAATCCTCCTGAACAGGAAATACAGAGTCTTTTCCCTGGGGTCTCTCCTGGGGACCGTGGCAGTCTCTCTCTCTGGCCTGAATCGTCTCAACACGGGATCAGGCTGCGAGGAATTATCCAAGTGGCGGGGGCACGGATTTGCCTTTAACCCCTTCGGTGTCTCCTGGGCTTCCCACGATTTCCTCACCATCTGCCACAATGGCACTGTTATTTACCAACACAGGGAGAAGAAAACAAAAGGAGTCGCCCCTCTAGGTGCGATTTTGGGGTCCCTGTCTCCCGTGGGGAGACACAGGGAGTCCCACTGCCACAGAGGAGCAGGGGGGCCGTGGGCAGATGAAGCTTTGAGGCCGGTGTGCATCGCTCCACATCTTGGATGTGTTTATTTTTGTGGTGCTGCTACTCACTGTCAGTCGTGGGGATGGCACTCAGGAGGAGGTGTCTGTGAAAAGACTGGTTGACCCTAAGGTGTCCTCAGCCAGGGGCACCAGAGGGTGTGCAGTGTGTATGTAGGTGTGTTTGGGTGTGTGTAGGTAGAGTCACAGAATGGCCTGGGTTGGAAAGGGACCTTAAAGATGATCTTGTTCCAACCCCCCTGCCATGGGCAGGGACACCTTCCACCAGCCCAGGTTGCTCAGAGCCCCATCCAACCTGGCCTGGGACACTGCCAGGGATGGGGCAGCCACAGCTTCTCTGGGCACGTATTTTTCACATCCCTGACATGATGGCTCTGCTGGGCTTAAGGATGTGATCCTTGTTTTCTCCCCATAGAAATGTTGGTAAGGTAGGGTTGTGGGTACAGCCTGCCTTCAGGTGAGAGAGAATCTCTAGCTTGGGCAGGGTTTCTTCTCCAAAACTCGTATGAACCTCTGCTAGGTGTCAGCTGGTAAAGCAGGGAATCTTAAAAGGACTGGATTTAGGCAGCCCCTTGCTGCTGCCTAGCCAGGTGACTCCCACGTGTCCAGCCTCAGGAGAAAACCTGCCAATGAGGCTGTGGGATAAATCATTAATGGCACCATGTGAAGAAGAATGGGGGGGGAAAAAAGCAACATCACTGTCAGGAGACAGGACAGCAGGTCTTATAACTGGATTAAGAGATCTGAGTGGCAGTGGGAGGTGGAGAGAATGCTAAATTTTGGTGTGGATGTGCTGGAGGGTTAGGAACTGATTTCATGTGTGCATGTGCTCAGGGTAGAAGTGCTTCTGGCTGAATCACTGGGGACAAATAAAGTCTCCATCAGGGAGTACCTGGTTAAAACATTAACAGCACATCTCAGCACTTGAGATGTTTCCCCATTCTGCATGTCATCCTTTCTCTCCAGTACCTCGGCTTTCTGCTGGTAGGACGGCTCTTCAACAGAGAGTTTGGGGGTGTTTACACCAAACTCAAAAAATGAAGGCTATTAAATAAAACTTGCCCTTTAAAATTCCCTGCTTGGAGCAGATGTTTCTTCCCCTTTAGCATCATCCTCCCACTTTCTCCTCACTCTTTTCTCTCCCCTTCCTTTGTACCCACATCTGCAGATACCATACTGGATTCTCAGAACTGGTAAAGCTGCAAAGTAAGTAGTCACAAATTACTCACATGCTCTACAAGGAGCTGAAATTTCCTGAGATATCAGTTAATAACATACATTTTCTTCATAGGGTTTTCTGGGAGGCTTTCATCCTGATGAATTTGGGCATTTTTGCATAATCCCATCTGCCTGCAAAAATTCAGGATGTGAACACTGCAACACAGTGCTCACAATTTAGACAGGCTAGAAACTTGGTTTGAAGGGAGAATTTAAATTCAGTGTAGTCCCTCCCAGGCATTCCCTATTATTAATGAAGGAATGACAGAATGGATACAACCATCTGAGAGGCAGCAAGTTTACCAGCCCTCTGTGCCCCTCGTTGTGCTCTGTGTGGTGCCCACCATCACAGATGTCTGGGGAGGTTTCCTCTTGAAATACTATTATTCCTGAGGCAACGTTTGGAGGGAGAAGGCCTTGCATTATAGGAGCTGACAGAGCTGGAAAACCAGATTAATTTTGCAGTGTGGAAGCCCTTCTCTGGTTATAATCCCTGACATGCCTTGGCAACAGACCAGCCACTACTTGTTGGGGTGCACAGGTGTGCCTGTGGTGTGTTTGTATTTAGTGTGGACTTTGCTAGTCCATTAAATAGCTCTAAATCACAGGGCCATTCTTTTCAAAGGGGCTGCTCTAGAAAACTCACCTGTGATTTTGCTTCTAGGAATTATTTGTGTGAGGAAAGCGGTCCTTTACTTCACTGGCACGGTGGCAGAACAGGTCTGTGATTCTGTGCTCAGTTCTCAGAGGGAAATTACAGAACATGGGCAAATCACCACTTACAGAAAACATCTAATGCAAGTATGGTTTTCTATGTTGGCACTGCCTTTAATATCTTTGGGCATATTTCACACACAGAGGCAATGTTTTAAATTAAGGGAAAACCACTGTGCAGGGTGAATCTTTGTAAACTACTTGATGGAGCTATGAATATTGCCATAGGGATTCAGGAAAAAATGCCACTGCAGCGATGCCAAATGGAAAGCAAAATGGTTTTTCACTTAATTTAGTATTTACACTCAATTTTGTTAGAAACCCAGAAACTCCACAAGAGTGGTGTACATGGATATAGGTACTCATCCTACAGTATTTATATGCATATTTAGTATATTCACCTGTAGACCTTGAGTAGAATGGATGATTTTACACTTTGAATATAAAAAGTGAGTTCTTAACATGTATTGCAGTACTGAACTGTAACTGAAGCAAAGCTGCTTGGATTCCTTTTCTCTAATAAAATGTGCATTTACAGAAATGTTTCAGACTTGGATGTGGGTTTAAGAATGCATCTGAGGGAAAGAACAGCCCCCTTTGCAAATGCTCACATGAAGGTAGAAATGCTGTCTGCTGGCTGGGGAAGCACCTTTTGGAGCTGCACTAATTCCACGAGAAACCGGGGGGGAGGAGGAGAGTGGGAGAGCAACCACAAAGCTAAATAAAAATACCCAATGCCTTCCTTTGTTCTCATTCCACTGGGAAAAGCACGCAGGGGGTGGTGGTGGGGGGGGTGATACACGCCAAGAGGCGCCAGGAATCCCTCGGGCTGTCGGTGCTGATTTTCATTAGAGGTGAGTGGGGGTTTGCAGCTGCGCCCAATCCCTTTACCGAGCAAATCCACGCGTGGGGGGCCGCTCCGTAATCCCCAGGCGCGGCGGGGGCGGGGGCGAGGTCTGGGGAAGCGGGCGGGTGCCCCGGGGGGTGAAGGGCGAGCTCAGCCCCCCCATCCTTCCCGGGCACAGGTGCCCGCCGCGCCCGCCTTCCCCCATCCTCGGAGCGCTCCCCGCGCCGCCAAACCTGTGGGCATCCCCTCGGCACCTGTGGGCATCCCACGACTGAAACCCGCTCCCAGAGCGCACCCGCGCCCCGACGCGGGTCCTTTTTGGCGGGGCGGGGCGGGGCGCGGTGGGATGGGATGGGATGGGGTGGGATGGGATGCGCGGCATCCCGGTCGTCCCCGGGGGATGCTGGCGCTGGCTGCGCGGGGGCGCGGAGCAGGAGGGATCCTCTTTGACGTCAAGCGCCCATAATATAATGATCGCTCGTTCATATCCGGGTCCCCGGGCGGCTCCCCCGGGCCGCGCTCGGCCGCGCTCGGCCGCGCAGTGAGGGGAGGCGGGTCGGGCAGGGCAGGGCAAGGCAGGGCAGGGCAGGGCAGGGCAGGGCAGGGCAGGGCAGGGCAGCGCGGCCGCCCGGAGGTGCCCGGCGGCGGCGGCGGCAGCGGGGCCGGCGAGCGCAGCATGCCCGCCGCCTCAGACGCGCCTGCCTCCCGCCGCTGCCGCTGCTGCCGCTGCCGCTGCTGCCCATGGAGATCGCGCTGGTGACTCTGGAGAACGGCGGCACCACGGCCATCGCGGGCGGCGAGGATGCCGCGGCCGCCGGCGGCCGGGCGCGCTGGCGGGGCAACTTGCTGCACATCGCGGGCTCGCCGCAGCTGAGCGACGGCAAGGAGGGAGCCCCGCCGCCCGCGCCGCCGCCGATGCCGCCGGGGGACGAGGAGCCGGAGCGGCCCCCGCCGGGGGACGAGGAGCCCGAGCGGCCCCCGCCGGGTCCCCGCGGGGGCGGCCCCGAGGAGCGGCCGGCGGACAGACGAGCCCCCTCCGCGCCGCCCCGGCCGCCGCCCCGAGCCCCGCGCCCAGGCGCGGACGTGGGACCCCCGGAGGAAGGGGGACACCGCCGGGGCATGGCCATGGCGGCGGCGGGGGACGAGGAGGAGGAGGCGGCGGCCGCGGTGAACCCGGGCTCCATGCACCACCAGCGGGTGCTGATCAACATCTCCGGGCTGCGCTTCGAGACCCAGCTGGGCACCCTCAACCAGTTCCCCGACACGCTGCTGGGGGACCCGGACAAGCGCATCCGCTACTTCGACCCGCTCCGCAACGAGTACTTCTTCGACCGCAACCGGCCCAGCTTCGACGGCATCCTCTACTTCTACCAGTCCGGGGGAAAGCTCCGCCGGCCCGTCAATGTCTCCATCGACGTCTTCGCCGACGAGATCCGCTTCTACCAGCTGGGCGAGGAGGCCATGGAGCGCTTCCGGGAGGACGAGGGTTTCATCAAAGAGGAGGAGAAGCCCCTGCCCCGCAACGAGTTCCAGCGCCAGGTCTGGCTCATCTTTGAGTACCCCGAAAGCTCCAGCTCAGCCCGGGCCATCGCCATCGTCTCCGTGCTGGTCATCCTCATCTCCATCATCACCTTCTGCCTGGAGACCCTGCCCGAGTTCAGGGACGAGAGGGAGCTGCCTGTGCCCCTGCCCCCACAGGGTGGAGGTTTGAATGGCACCGCCGGGGACTCCCCGGCCATGCAGCCCCCCAGCAGCCTGGCTGATCCCTTCTTCATCATCGAGACCACCTGCGTGATCTGGTTCACCTTTGAGCTCCTCGTGCGCTTCTTCGCCTGCCCCAGCAAGCCCGAGTTCTCCCGCAACATCATGAACATCATCGACATCGTGGCCATCATCCCCTACTTCATCACCCTGGGCACCGAGCTGGCCCACGAGCAGCAGCAGCCCGGGGCTGGCAGCAGCAATGGGGGAGGGGGCCAGCAGCAAGCCATGTCCCTGGCCATCCTCAGAGTCATCCGCCTGGTCAGAGTCTTCAGGATCTTCAAGCTCTCCAGGCACTCCAAGGGGCTGCAGATCTTGGGACAGACTTTGAAAGCCAGCATGAGGGAGCTGGGCCTCCTCATCTTCTTCCTCTTCATCGGGGTGATCCTCTTCTCCAGCGCCGTCTACTTTGCTGAGGCCGATGACCCCGAGTCTCACTTCTCCAGCATCCCTGATGCTTTCTGGTGGGCAGTGGTGACCATGACCACCGTGGGCTACGGGGACATGAGACCTGTCACTGTGGGGGGCAAGATTGTGGGCTCCTTGTGTGCCATTGCAGGTGTGCTCACCATCGCCCTCCCCGTCCCTGTCATCGTGTCCAACTTCAACTACTTCTACCACCGGGAGACCGATCACGAGGAGCAGTCTATCCTCAAGGATGAACACAGCAGTGCTCAGGGCAGCACAGCCGGGGCAGATGCGAAGAGAAGAGCCAGTACAAACTCTCTGAACAAATCTGTTGTGCACTTGGAAAACAGCGAGGAGTTCAACAACGGCACCAGCTCCATAGAAAAAGCCACCATCAAAGCAAAAAGCAATGTAGATCTCAGAAAATCCCTCTACGCTCTCTGTCTGGACACCAACAGGGAAACAGACCTGTAAGGAGAGGAGAGAGTTAGAGTCCAGAGATGCAGAAGGGTTTTCTGGTGTCAGAAACTTGCTACTATAATTATTCTTTCAGTACCAATTAGTTTTTTAAAAGTCAGGCTATATTTTATAAATTGATCACTGTCCTGAGCAGTCCTCCAGGAATACATGTTTTTATGTTCTTTTTCCATGACACAAAGGGTCACCTATTTTTAAAATAGACTAAGAATAAGCTACACTCCATGATGCAGGAGCTGGCAAATTATGACAGTGAAAAATCTAATTTGTAGAAACTTATTTTAGCAAATGGTGGTTGGTTTTAAATGGGTAATTTGTAACCAATTCAGTTGCTCCAAGTTTAGTATTAAAGAGTTGGGGGGGGATGTATGTGTGGAGAATGAATGGACTGGGGGGGGGGGGGAGGGAGGTTGAGGGCTTTTGTACTGTAGTTTCAAATTGAAATAATTCCAATATATTTTATATTTGTATGAGTGTATTTATGGTTGAGAGGGGATTTCTTATTCCTGTGAAATATGACATCATTAAAGCACTAGGAACATTGGCAGATCAGCACTTTCAGAGTTTTCCACTTGTGATCAGTAGAGATCTGGTTATCCTGTATGTGAAGTGAATTTGGTGCTTTGAACCCTAGAGCAGAACACTTCTGTCATCATTGATATGTTAGTTTCTTGTGAGCCTTAAATTATTAAATATTGTAGATATACTTCTTTATAAATAATTTTATTAATTACCTTCCTGTTTCAGAATTTCTAAACAATCCAGTCATGTGCTTACTTGTCCCCATTCTGAAAAGTATGTGCAGCTTTTTTTTTTTTTTTTTTTTTTTTTTTTTTTTTTTTTTTTTTTTTTTTTTTTTTTTTTTTTTTTTTTTTTTTTTTTTTTTTTTTTTTTTTTTTTTTTTTTTTTTTTTTTTTTTTTTTTTTTTTTTTTTTTTTTTTTTTTTTTTTTTTTTTTTTTTTTTTTTTTTTTTTTTTTTTTTTTTTTTTTTT